TATGAAATCAATTAAAAAAACAGAAAAGGAAACAAAGTTCTCCATCTGTCACCTTTTGTTTTTGTTCTCTTCCCTTTTGGTAGTTTCTGCTTCTCTCCTGCTGGTGCTAATAGGTCATCATCATTTGTGCCTGTCTTTGGGACAGCCCCATCTTAATTCCTACTGCCATGTGTACTTCAATGACCAGAGTCTATATTCAATGAGTAACTTAGTTCTTGGTAGTAAAAGCTGGCCATATAGGTGTGTTTTCATAGAATTTTCCTCCTGGGACAGTGTTTGAAATCTTTCCCAGAGCAGTTCTGTTAGTCACAAATGAGCATTGATCAAATTACGGTAGGAGATGAGTTTCTGACCTTAGGAACACATTATTTAGAAGCAGGTGAGAATGAAGGGTTTCCTCCCCCTGCCTTGTATCTATGCGTTTTACATTAAAATGCTATATTTTAAAAATGACTACCTAGAACTAAAATTTTATATTTCATATTAGACTACATTCTCGTGTTTCTCTCTAACAAGACATATTTGCTTATTCCTCAATCTTTTCAATTATTCTTAAATGGGATATTATATGGATTAAAATTACATTTCTTCATAGCTTATGCTGCAAATGATAAGTGATTTTTAAAAAGGAATTAATCCTCCTGTATGAACTCAATGAGTCACACTCCAGGGCAGAAAGGAGATTGTTGGGAGGAAGGAGGAAGGTGGAGAAAACAAAGAACACAGTTTGAGGAAAACACTCCAGCAAGGCATGATGGATTGAACCTTATCGATGCTGCTTAATGATGTGTGTCAAAATAAGTGCAGGAAACAGCATTTGCTTGGAACTTTGGAATGCTGTGGTAACTGATCTTTAAGTGAAGGAATGTTACAATTGGAATAGTTAACCTAAAACTGTTCCCAAACCCATCAATTTTATTTATTAAACTTACCAAGGAGAAGCAAAGTGACAAGGAGGGTGTAGATCATTTGTTTATTTGACAAGTTACTCAGCGTTCTTTTCCTTGGTAGGGCAGCAAGTAAGATGGATTTTATTATGCTCAGCATGTGTGTTTGCCTGCTTCAAAATTGTTTACATATTTACTGGCAGGACTCTAATGAAAATAGATCAGTCGAAGGGGCTTTTATCTGCCTGTCTGTGGAACATTCTGAAAGCTGCATTTTTAATGGACGATGACCACAGTTGTTTTTAGGATTCCTGAATGAAGTCATAAAGTCTTAAAAATTTTGGAACTCAAAGTTTTGACTCACATTGCAATTTGAGTAACTGCTTTATAAAAATGGTCCTGGTCTAATTTTAAACCCATGGCTTCATTATCACAAGTCTGAGGCTTATTTATCAGCCCATAATTAAGTTTAGTTAAACTTAGTTGACTTATGTGAGAAAAGATACATCCAGGCTACTTCGGGGGCTCCATTTTTTCCAATTAAGGACTTCTATGCTATACCTTTGCAGTCATTTTATGATGCAAAATGAAGACTTTTGTGACCTTCTACTAAATAAGTTTAATTATTTTAGCAACATTTCCTAGAGATTTAAATGTACATGTTTGCAGTGCGTCTATACAAGAAAACATGAGATTCAGTATAATATTTTTAGGTGCTTATCTCTTAGAATTCTGTTTGCAGATTATGATTAAGAAGAACCTGTCTGAAGTTATAACATCATTTATAAGTACACAGCTTCAATCAGCCCCTCTGGGTGCTGATCTAAAAATGCGACACCTGCCTGGTTTGAAAGCAATGTGTATCAGCATTCAGAACACCTGGAGGAGTCAGCTGACCATCATTCAGCTTAGCATTCCCTGTCAATCTGTCTTGAACCAATATGACACACTGTTGACTCTCCTTATTCATAATTCTTTTAGCTTTAGCATGGATTCCCGGGCAAATTAGCTACGGTCAAGATAATAGTATGAAATTTTCAATCTCTCTCTCTCTCTCTCTCTCTCTCTCTCTCTCTCTCTCTCTCTCACACACACACACACACACACAAAATTTCCCCAAGGAGGTTGTGACAGATCCAGTGGCTGTTTTAGGTGTCATTCATCTTCATGTAAGAAAGATATTCACGTAGAAATGAAACTAAAACAAGAGATGGCATCTTCACTCTTCTCAAGCAACTACTGGCTAATAAGTAGTTCATTTTGTGTTTGTTCAGAGTTTCATCATAGAATGTTCAAATATAACAGTAACGGTTTAAGTCAGTATGTGTAATTAAAATGTATGGGGAGGGACAGTGAGATGGATCAGCAGGTAAAGGTGCTTGCTGCCAAGCCTGATGGCCTGAGTTTGGTCCCCTAAATCTACATAGTAGAAAGAGAGTAGACTTTTATAAGTTGTCCTCTGACTCCTATATCTGACTGCCATACATGTGTCCTTTAAATTGTTTTCCTTGGATTTTTTGTCAGTGATGAAAATCTAATCAAAATCCAAGTCTACAATATCTCTCTTATAAACCAAGTTTTCTCACTGCTTTTATCATTTACTTATTCTCTGTCTCTGTCTCTGTCTCTGTCTCTGTCTCTGTCTCTCTCTCTCTCTCTCTCTCTCTCTCTCTCTCTGTGTGTGTGTGTGTGTGTGTGTGTGTGTCATAGTGTGAGTGTGGATGTTACGGGACAACTTCTGGGATTTGATTCTCTGCTATGTGGATTCTGGGGATTAAATTCAGATTATCAAACTTGACAGAAAGCACCTATATCTACAGAGCCATTTGAATGGTGTCAGGAGTGATTGTCACAAACTATTGTGGGCCATGACATAATTATAGCTTATAGCAAAGAATAATTCAGATGCCAACCCACCAGATGAATGGTTCTCTAATGAAGGAACCCTGTTGGTCAGGGCCTGTAAGGCCATGGGCTCTGAAAAACTGGTTGCTTTTATCTGTAATTTTTTTTGTGCAATAACAGCGATGATATTTCCCCATTACCATGCATTTCCATGTAATGTGCACATGTAATCTCACGATTACAACTCAGTCTTAATGGGCACATACATTTGTGGGCAGTCAGGAAGATGACTTGTCATTGGGCTGTAAATTTGGACGTATGGACTTATGCTAGGATGTGCTTCATAACTAGATCTATTGTCCCGTGTGGACTGTAGACACTGAAGCCTGCTTTGTTTCTCTTGCTCAGACTAATGTAAGAAAATAACAGTTTCTCCTCAGTCTAAGACTAACTGCACACGTTGGACACATTTTTACCTCAGAGCAAGTTCAAACTACACTAAAAGCCTTTGTAAATGGATCGTAAGTTAAAAACTTTACAATTATGCTCAAGGTCAGAGTTGCAGGTGTCCAAACAAAGTTATCCACATAAAGCACCCTAAGAAAAGCATGTCAATTCTTCGCTTGCCAAGTCTGCTGATAAAGAGTTATATCTCAAAGGGTGTCCCACTGGGCATTGTGCCCCTCCTTCTCATCCTGAAACCTTGAAACCTTGTGTTGCCATAGTAAATGGCTTGCTCATTATTGCTTATCCTAGGCATATGCTTTTGACCAATGAGAGGTAACTCTTGTAATTTTTTATTGTTTCAAGCCTCCTGTAAAAGGAGAATTTTTAGGCTAGTTGAGAGAAGCAAGAGGATGAGAACAAAAATTAGAGTTAAGAAATTATAGACAATCAAGACAAGAAAATTAGAAGAAAAATAGAAGAATAAAGAGACATGATTGGAACAGTACATATGTAAGAGTTTACCCTCAGATATCCTGTCTTTTTGCTTCCTGTAGAGTCTGATCTGAATGCTGAAGATAGCTTTCAAAGCTGGACTCTGAGGCTATTGATAGGATGGCTCCTTCTTATTTATGGTTATAGGTTAATTAAGCGGGTTTCTAAATTTCATTAGAGGTTTCCTTCATTTCCAAACTCATACTTACCATATTTTGTTAATTTGAAGATATTTTTTCACATTTTTAAGTCGGATATGTTTTATAATTAAAACATATAGTTTACTTGAGAGCATCCTTCTTTGCCTTTATTCTTAAGAAGCACTACCTCTACTGAAGAGTATTGGAGATGCTGTGTTTCTGGTCCATGACACATTAAACAAATCCAGGAGTTTGTGCCATTGTCCTAAACCTATCTTGACATGTTATGATGTCCTTTTCAACAGTGTGGATAAATATGGCATAAGATTGGTTCATGATTTTTAGTATTGTTCTGTAACAAATTGTGTGGCATTCAGAGAATACTATATGGTATTTATTCTTCCACTATCTATAATAGGCAAATATGAGTTTAAAAAGGACACACATGATGAGCTAAATGATAACTGGAGGTATCATAATAAGTGTCTATAAAATAGGACACTAAGTAAGTACTAAAGTCAGACAATTATAAATCCCACTGAGAAGAGGCTACTTTGGGCTGGAAAAAGTTAATGAAAAATATGAAGGGTAGAAGTGGCCTTTGAAAGATATATAAGATATTGATGAGTAAAAGTGGAGGAGAGGGAGCATATGTTTTTCTTTCTGTGTATTCTTAGTGTCTATCTTCAGCAATCATAGCTATAGACAAATTGAAAGTGGATGGGTATTTTTAGATTTAGAACATGCATTTGAAAATACAGCAAACACTTGTGAGATTGGCTGTCTTGCTAAGAACCAGTTAGAATGTCTGCTTTTTTTGGGAATTCTGAACACTTTCTCTAAATTTGGGTGGCTAAGAACACAGCAAAACCCTGGCTCACATTTGAGATGACACATAGGATAACCTGACAAATTGAACTCCATGGAAGCTTTAAAGACACTTGTTATCTGGGACCTACATATAAACTGAGTAGAAATCATAACTCGAGAGCACTCTTGAGCCAGGAAATATGCTTAGTCGCTCCTCATGTGCAAAAAGAAAGAACTGACTACTCTGGGTTTATTTAGCAGGTAATTTGCATTCCTCTACATAAACAAGCTACGGATTTGTGAGATAGTCTCAAACTTGCTTGTGGTCGTACCACCTGTATTCAGAGTCTCAGGGAAACTTGTTCTTGTTCTTCCCCAGAACCAGCTGTGGGATGCTGTGCTACACACAGGACTTTATGTAAGGTGGGTTTGCATGTTTACACTGGTCTGGTTTCCCTGTTTCCCATTCCTTCATTTTCTCTCCTCATGGCTAACACTTTAAAGCTCAGTTCGAGCATTTTAAAACAGCATTTATGTCAATAAAATTTGATGTAATTTTTTCACATTCCTTATAAAATTTTAAACTTTTGAATTTAGTAGCAAAGATCTGCATAATGCCTGGTAGTATATTGCATTATTATTGTTTTGTAAATTTCCAGAATAATGTATCTGTGATGCTATGATGACAACATTGTGAAATGGTGCTTTGCAAAAGCTCTGGCCCATCATCTTCTTGATTTTTCTGTTTACACAATTCAGGACTTGTACTAGTGACTTGAACCGTTATAGGCCATGGATGACAATTGTTGTAAGGTAGCCTAGGCCTAGCTATTAAGGTAAGAGACAACTTCAAAGTCCAAGGTGGTGGGATAGATATTCTCAAAAGGCTTGCTGCCTTATGGCCCTGCCATGTTGCTAGGGAAATGAATTCAAAGCTGACCAAGTATCAACTTGAAGTTATGAGTGAATAATAAATGCACACTAAACGGACCTTTTCTTGATCATCATAGATTGGTTTATTTGCTTTTACAGTGCCAAAGACTGATTGAACCTCCCCAGCTGCAAGATCCCATAGAGTTCCTATCTTTACCTTATGCAGATTCTGGTGGATTCTGCATTGGAATTTTGCACTGATGGAAATATTGTGTTATTTGAGCAGCTCAGTGAAGAAGGCACTAGCTATGTGTATCAGGCTTTTCATGTCGGCACTTGATAAAGCAAAGAAACTGGATTTTTAAAAATTATTTTATTATTTTGTATACTTGGGTTATTTTGCTTGCATGTATGTCTGTGTACCATGTACATGCAAGTACCCTCAGAAGCCAGAAGATGCCTTCAGATCCCATGGGACCGAAGTTACAGGTGGCTATGAGCCTCCATGTGAGTGCTGGGGATTGAACATGGGTCTTCTGGAAAAATAATCTGCACTGTTAAACTATCCGTCCAGCCTTAAAACTGAAAGTTTAATTTAAATGCTTATGATAACATAAATGTAAGTAGTAGTTTCATACAGCTAGTAGCTACCAAATTGGACACTGATAGACTGGAAGGTCTTGTCCAGAGAAGTAGTATAATAATTGTTGTGTATTTTCCAAATGTAATAAATTTTATTTTTATAACATTTCTTACAACCCTTAAAGTATATATTGTTAATTTCATTTTTGTATTGAAAATAACTAAAACTCCTAAAATCAGTTGTTCAAAGTCTCATGATTACTAAATGATAAAATTAGCTTTCAAACTCTAATTAGGGCATCAAACTCAAGGCATCAAACATCATGCTAAATCAGACACTCTCTCACTGAGCTATGCCCCAAGCCAGTAATAACATCTACTAAAACATTCTCATCAAATGATGTGATAAACGTTGGCTTTTTACTAGAGTGGGTAGGAGAAAAGACTATGTGGTGATGTAGGCCAGAAGTGATGTGTCTAGCACACAGGAGGCTTGTTTTGGAAGGGTGTGTATAGATGTAACCAACCGTCTTATTAAATAAGAAACACAGAAACAATGTAAAAGAGAAAGCCGAGAAGTCAGAGCTCAGAGCTAAAATCTCACCCTTCCTCCTGCTGTCCCAGCTTCGCGAAGAGACCTACTTCCTGTCGGTTCGTTTTTTTTAAAGTATGTTG